CGTCCAGACTAGCGCGCTGAGCGGACAAACAGCTGATCAGCTGTTTGTCAGCTCAGCGCGGCAGCCATGTAAATTTAAATGAAGCCGCGATCATTTAAATCGTGGCTTCATTTGACTTTGACAAAACAACAAATCTACATGGCTCCGTCGACGGAACCATGTAGTTTAGACGTACCCCAAAAGTTCTCAGTAATAAACAAATGGCCCTTGCCTGAGACAATAGCATGGGGCAGCTAAGAACCTACTGCCCACACAGGAAATAATGGGCTGTGATGCTAACATCCTTGCCTAATGGGAAGCCCCAATCAGAATCCCTGCAGCCAGGGCTTTCCATGGGGAGAGAGCAGTCAGGTCCTGCCAGGCTGCTCAGTACCACTCTCTACACATTCTATGCTATGTCTTGTCCTGACACTGATGGTGAGCCCAGCACATCCCTGTGTTTCCCTTCCCTGGCTATATCCCTATAAACATGCCTGCAGCATGGGCTTTCTATAGGGAACACGGAGGACCCAAGGGACAGTGGAGTACCACTCCCTGAGCTTATACAGGCTGAGGACTCAACAACAACAAATTCATTACAAGTGGAACCTCTTTTCCAAAAAGGTGCCAATAAAAATGACACATCAATCAGTTAATATCCAAATACCTTTAACATTAGTTCAGGAGAAAGTGTTGCTAATAATCAAAAATTATCTTTATCAGGATTATCAATAACCCCCATGCATTAGATTTGGAAAAAAATCAAATGTATTTCTTCCTATTTATCCTTTTTGTACTTGAGAGCAAATACATTGGAAAGTTCTCTTTTTTCCTGCTTATCACTTTTTGGTTCTCAACCCCAAGAATAAGAATGCCCAGGGTACAAACACTATAGGAAAAATGGTAAAAATCAAACTAAGATAGAGTCTCCTGGATATTTAAAAAAAAAATCATGAAAACATGATTGTACTACTATGGTAATTTTGTAAAACTTTTGTTTTGGACAAAACCTAAATTTTGGACCTGAACTGTGCCTCAGTGTCCCTTACACTTGATAACAGAACACTTATTTTTGAAGATTTTCATGTGTTATTACTTAAAACATTTTACTTTTTTTTTTTATAAGCCGTGTTGGTATCTTCTATCTCTGACTACTGCACAACCTCCAGTTATATAAAATATAAATATACCTGACAATTCATCCACAAGACTGATAACATCATCTGCTGTCCACTCTTTAGCTTCTGTGTCATACAGTAGTTTAATAGCATCAGCTAGACCCTTTAAACTGGTCTCATCAGTTGGTCCGTCTATCATTTTCTGCCAAACCACATGTCCTGGGTAACATTAGTCACAATCACCACTAAATAACAATGTAGTTTGCTAAATAAGGAAGAATTATACTGGGGCCTCAAAGGATGGCTTGAAAAAAGAAAAGGTGATTCAGGCAAAAGCAAAAGTCCCTATTTGCACAAGAGCATTTTATTTTATCTCATTTGTGGCAGAAGAGGCAGTGTAGACTACAATGTGAATTAGAATTATTGGGTACTTTAGGGAAACACAGAATTAATATTTAAGTGAGGAAAACAGTGTGATTTCAGAGGGTGATACACTTGCTTGTGGTTCAATGCTGAGGCGACCTTCACACCACGGGTGTAGGCAAACAGAGGAAAAACATTGCCTCTGTAATTTCTTTAGAAGGTCCATGTTAAACAGGTAAGGGGTCAATTATTCTAAATATTATACAGGTTGAACCTCTCTATTCTGGCACCCTCGGGATCTGACCAGTGCCAAATGAGAGAATTTGCCAAACCAAGGGAGGTCAATATTGTCTAGCAGCATTGCCAACACTTCCACTGCTTACTGGGCTCTTAGAAAACATTTAGGGGTAAATTAAAGCTAAATAACAGCACAGAACACTGAGTGCCAGGACTTTATAGGATCACAGAAAACTTGACCACACCCATGATAAGGGGACAGCCAGCTAGCTAAAATCATGTCAGACCACGGATGTTGCCAGACCAGAGAGAGCCAGACTACAGAGTTTCAACCTATACTTTATTATTTAGAAAAGGCCTGCTTTCTAGAGGTGCTGCTGGCTGCACATAAATAAGTAAAGTCAGAGTTTTTGTCTTCAAAAGTTTACAGTAATATAGCTGCACCTGGAACAAAACAAAAAGTATTGTGAAATAGCTAAGATGTTCTGTATGTCCTTCATTTATGAGATTAGTTGGCTTGATTCTTATGTTCTGTAATCTCATTTATGAGATTAGTTGGCTTGATTCCCCTCTCACACTGGTGTAAATTAGGAGTAATGAGCACCAATATAAGCATTCTCAGTAGAATGTCCAAGCAATTACCTGGAAGTTTACAGTCTTCACAAATTAATATGAATGGTGTGGTCAAATCTTGAAAAAGAATAAGTTTATTAGGAATGATAAGTCTGCAAAGAGGTAAATGTTCCCTTATAAAAAGAGAAATGCAATAAGCACAAAGTGCTTTCCCACCTGGAACGAAATCTTCCTGGCATATGGGAAGGCCCATAACAAAGTGTACCACAGAGTTTCTGCCATACATGGAGCTACAAAGCAGAGAATCTACAAAGAGAATCTACACCCAAAGCTCCCTGCACACTGTTAAGAAGTTCCACAGCAACTCTCTCTATAGGAACTCAGAAGAGCTGTTGTGGAGCAGGCAGTAGCGTACCAGAGGAGGGAACAACAGGTTCATTACTTGTGTGTATGCTTTGGCCCAAAAGCTCAAAATGATGGGTAAAAAGGTTGTTGTTCTGACTATGACTCATGGTCTACAGTTGTGTCCACAGACATCTCAGATATATAATCCTACCACTTGACTGAGGAGGAATCCATCCCACACAACCCTTGCATTGGTCTCCTGAAAGGGCATAGATCAGAATTTCTCCCTCAGAAAACAGGCTATTATGTTAAATCTACACACCATTTATAGAGGAGACTGGGCCAAAAATGATGTATAACAACCGGGCTTGATTAACCATTGGCCACGGTTTTAAGATACGAGTCAGCCAAAATGCAGAATCACTTCGATGAATCCAGTGATTTAGCAGGACACTGCGACAGAATAACCTTATCCGTAATTCCAGCTTTCGGGCGCTTCCTAAGATAAGAGAATTTGTATATTATGAATCCATAATCACTTTGGCGATTTTAATATATTTATAAAGATTGGTAGAGAGAGGGAGAAAGGATTTTAGGCTATATTGGCAAATAATGCTAGATTTGTAAAGGTATTTAAACTCCCTACAGATGTAGATAGGTGCCTACTAGGATATTAGAGATTCCAGATGCATAACTCCCACTGAATGAGTGTCAAATTGGAGTAACTCAGACCATAAGGTCCGAAGTTCTAAGCTGTAACTATCCCATGCTTGCACTAGTTTCGTGCACTGCTTCAAACCACTGATTCTATCTGCCTGCCCAATGCTAATTTTTTGCCACTTCTCATGCTCTGTTTCAGGGTCATGCCATTATTTTTGGCATTGCTGTGCTTCTTTCTGCCAGTAATTCTATTAAATGGTGCCTAAAGGAACAAGTAGAAAAAGTTGACTGCATGCTTGCCTTCTACAACCTCTTAGGTGGGAACCCACATGTGAACATTTCCAATGAAATACTGAGTACTGTGCTGGACAATTTCTGGAGGGGCTACATTTGGTTTTAGAGTGATGCTTCAGGATATGCATAAAATATTAGTCCTGATTTTCTACTGTACCACATCAGTTTTATACTGGTGTAACTATTAATTGCACAAGTTTTGGTGTAAAGCAGAGGAGAATTAGGCCTAGTGCATGTAAATTATATATACATTTGATAATGAAATGATAAGATCCAACAAAATCAATTGCCTCTCAAAGAGATACACTTCGCCACACAGAACACCCAAAGATAAAAGTCAATTGCTTGTTCTCATCAGAAAACAACTAAATTCAGTTAATAGTGCAGATTTCCTTCAGTTATATTCAACATGTTACCAACTTCAGAGTACTCATTTTTGGCATGTCTGCAGCTAAAGCACCATACATATGGATAAAGGAAGGATCAAGTGCTGCAGGGATCACAAGGCTCAAATCATCCTTGAATCTAGGGTGCATTTTCTCTGTAATAGTGTGAATCCATTTCCTGAACTGGCAGCAAAAGAATGCTATAACTACCATGACAGCTTCTTTCATTATCATTTGTATTTTCTAGGATTTTTTTGTTTCAGGTATTCACCTGGTTTGCTGCTGACAACTGTCTGTACTTTGCGGGGTAGATTGCTCAGCTCACAGAGGAAGTTATAAACACGATGGCATTCTAATTCATCCCAGCCTGCTGTCAGGGTCTGACAACACCAAATGAAGGACAGATATATAGAATTAAATCACAATGCCTGTTATTATAGCCATAAAAGTACAATCAATTTTTCAGTATTTATGGAAAGGACACATTTCAGCAGAGACTAGTGCATCTGAACTATTGTGTATTATTTTAATCCTTATCATTCAAAATGGACTTCTTGCAAAGTGCAAATTATTATTATAAATGCCCTCCTCTCCCCCCAGTGGCTATATCTATATGTCACTGAAATCAGAAATAATCATGTCACACACACTTGTTGCATAAAGGAATTTGCTAAGTCTAAAAGGGAAAACAAAAATGTTAATATAAGCTCTTTTATTCTATCAGGCCCTCAGACACTTTGGGCAGTAACATAGCGGCTCAACAAAACAAAACACAGCAGTTTAGAAATACAGAGCTAGATGATAATCCCACAGATTGGAATTGCTCTAGATTTCTACATGTGTAACTGATATCAGTAGTCATTATTTGACAGATGGTCTCATATCAGCAACTCATGAAAATTCTGAAAAAAGAGGAGGAGGAGAGTTCTGCTCCTGCTGCTGTTTCTTCATGGAACTCTAGTGATCTAAAGTGAGTGAAATGACTCACGAGGAATTTCCTCATTGCAGGGCCAGCATAAGTCTGACATAGGCAACCCTACGCATCACACACAAGCCCATAGCCCCCTGTTCCTGATGGTGTCAGGAGAGAGAGAGGAAGAGGGAGAGTGTCTTGAGTGCAAAGCCTTCCAGCACCATTAGCTTCAGCTGCCATGAAGGGTTCTCTAATTCATACCAAAGGGAAGGGCTGTCTTTATGAATTCGGGTACTCTGCACAGCCTGCGGACTTGCATCCCCTAACCCCTGCTGGGGAGTGGGGCAGCAACTCTGCAGGAGAGGGCTGTGCGGGCAGGAGCTGTGTGGGCAAGAACAAGGCAGGGACACTGATGGGGAACAGGCGGAAGGGGAAACAGTGCAGCACACCAGAGCTGTGAGCTAGGAGGCAGACCTGGAGGTGGAGGATTGGGGCCACTGGAACTTAAGGGCCATCAGAACAGGGGGTGGGGGACTGAGGGATTCAGCCACTGGGGTTGGGAGGTGAAGTGGGAAACCTGGGGGCTGAGGATTTGGGCTGCCAGGACTGGGAGGCGGAACAGGAGCAGCGGAGCGGGGGATTGGGGCTGCTTAAGCTCACACTGTCCTCGACTGGGGCATATGCAACATAGGGCACAACTTAATTTAGGGCAAAGTGGTGGCCCAAATTCAGTGGTGGTCTACACAGCTGCACATTCTGCATATGCCAAAAGATGGCCCTGACAAAGGGGTTCATGGGCCTTTGTATAGCTCAAAATTTGAACTGCATTGGGGTTGCACCTTCTGGCCAAAGATAATTTATGATCTTTGGACGTGACTACGCAAGAGACAGTTGCTAAAAACATGAATATCCTGATGCAAATAATTATCTATAATAGTTAGCTAGGGCAGGGAATAAACCAGACAATCATGCGATTCTGAACAGTATCTTTGTCATTACTAAAGATATTTTCATATGGTATATTTCCAGAGAGTGTCTGAACAAGTAAGTTCTTCTAAAACACAATGTAGCTTAATTTAAAATGTTCAGAAAATGCTTGTTCTTCAACAAAGAATATAAGCTTTTTTCGGGAAGTTAGACAAAGCAGCTCTCAAGTAAAGCGACCCATAATGGTGATCCTATCCATTTGACAATGAAATACCATCCTCAGTTAGTATTAAAGAAGCCCTATCCTTGTCCCTTATAACATATTTGCAATCTTGGTAGTCATTATAGTAAATACAGTTGACTGCTGAAATAACAGATTTGTCATTTCTTTCTTTGCATCTCAAATAGCTAGAACAATTCCTCCATTTAATTAAAGACCTTGGGCTAATTGCCTTTAAATCAGAGAATCTCTGGTTAGGGTGTTGAGAATTTGATATTTGAAGTAATGTAATGAAAAGGCCATATACGTATTCTTCTTTGGTAATAAATTTGCTAATAATAAGATCCAGAATTATAAATTCTCTAAAGTTAAGTTAAATATTTTTAAAAAGTCAGAAAGAAATGCGGAACTGAATAAATGCATTGTCTGGGACCTGAAAGCCATGTTAAACTTTGAAATGTCTTGCTAAGCAGTTTTAGCCCACTGCTTTTCAAAGTATAATTAAGTTGGATGGTGATTATGTTTATCTGCACTTTTTAAAAAGGCTGAGTATTTCAGCCTTGATAGATTTAAAAAAAGACAAACTTTGGTTTCTCTTATACTAATGATACCTGCCTTCTCTTTGAGAAAATACACCATACCTGTAAAAACACACCATAGCACTGTAATCCCAAGCAATGCAATGGGCTTGGGCAACCGCTGAGTTTAAAACAGGAAACCTGCAAAGACAAAACATTGTTGCTTCTTTTAATCAATGTAGAGTAATTGGAAATAAATTCACTTTTATGCTTGAAGCTTTCCCACATCACTGATCTACAGCAATGCAGACCCAAGGGGCTATTTTCCAAGGTAAATAAGGGATTTCTCTACACTACATTCACTCAACCCTTGCATCTCTTCTGAGACAAAATTGCCAATTAGGATTGTGTTTTTATGATGCGGCCATTGGTCCTCTCAGAACTTTCACTCAGTCCACCTTAGTCTTCAGACAGATGTGATATTTTATTAATAATGTCTGTTATACATAATCATTTAGCCCTTCAGAAACCAATACAGTTTAACAACATAATGTTTTGAATTAATTATGGTTAAAATTTTATCCCTGTGCAGAGAGCCTGCCCAAGGCATTATGCACCACTTTCTCTTCTAAGCAGAATTTAAGTGGGATATAGGTCTTCTATAGGATCTCTTCATGGGGCTGAATTTCAACCTACATTCATTTTATTACAAAGTGGCAAATATTATTTGTGCTGAGTGATGTGCTTTAAAAATTAACATAAAAGACATTTTTATAGCAGATTATATTCACGAAGGCCATGTCTACACTATGCAGATCAACAATACCGAGGTCAATTTTTTGGGATTCAATTTAGTGGGTGTAGTGAAGACCCACTAATTTGAACTGAGAGGGTGCCCCTGTTGGCACCGGTACTCCTGCACCTCATGAGGAGTAAGGAAAGCCGATGGGAGCGTTTACTCCCGTTGACCTCCCACTGTGTGGATGGTGATTTAAGATACATCAACTCTAGCTATGTAATTAATGTAGCTGGAGTTCCATATCTTAAGTTGACCTTCCCCTTTAGTGTAAACCAGGCCTAAGAGTGGAGTTTTAAAAACATTTGAAGGAAATTATTTTCAATAGGAGTTGAGCAACTAACCCCTTTAGATATCCTTTGAAAATCCCAGATGTATGCCATAATTTTCAAACAGTGGGTGCCTAAAGTTAGAGATGGTTCTGAACACCACAACTCACTTTGACTTCAGTTTAAATCTGTGGGGGCTCAGCATCTTGGAAAAATAAACCACTTATTGATTTAAATGCCTAATTTCAGGTACTCAAGATTGGAAATCATAGCCTAAATATCTAAGGAAGAATTTTAACCAAGAGACTGATTCCAAATTACTAAATTCGTATTACACTGATGAGCATCACAGATGCGTTAATAAATTAATTTACATATATTACATTAACAAAATTGTTTTATTGAAACATTAATATAGGTGCAAGTAATACTTCAGAACAATATTCTAGAAGTGTTAAATACAGAGAAATGAGTGTAAGCTTACTTCTGAGAGTATCTTGTGTATGTACTTTAGCCTGTCTTTTGTGGGCAGTAATAGCGTGCACCTTTTAAGCAACAAACCTGAAACAGAAACACATATGTAATCATTCAGGTGAGGTAAATAATTTGGCCAGATGAAGCATACACTACACAGGCAGTGCAATACCATGCTATTTCCTCAAGAGAAGAAAATGGTACATTACAGTGGGCTGTGCACTGGAAAACGGTAGGCTAGCCTCTGAAGTAGAGATGCCTTTTATGTCAGAAAGCATGATGGGGAGTGCATAAGGCTCTCATGATATAATTTGTTTACTAAGTTGTTTTAAACTCCATGCGAATCACAGCTGGAGCCCTGCAAAATTATTATATTGTTTTTTGAATTACAGCTGTTAGAAATATTTCAATTAATAGAGGCACAAAGAGTAACATTTGAAGAGACACTGGTTTTCTAATTACATCGTCAAAAGCTGAGCCTCCAACATCTTTTAAGCCAACCACATGGTCAAACAGAAGTTATTCTGAACTGTGATGATAATATAAAACATAGCTAGGAGGCAGAATTTTTTTCTTCTACATGAGATTCAAAGCTAGAGAAGAGCTTATGATATAAAGGGCTGGAGTTCATTATACCGCAGAACAGCTATTTGTTTTTCTATGAGACTGGAAAGCCAAAGGGTTACAAATCTTTCCCCTCAAAAACATCTGGTAGAACAACATATATTATATATACCCTTCTTTGTTAATCATGCAAGAAATCCACAGAAGAGTACTCAAATATTTTCTAAGTATCTCCTAAATATCATGTTATTTCCTTGGTGTCAGAAAGTGCTTTAGATACTTCCTGTGATTTTGAATGGACTATTTTCCCAATATAGAAGTATGTTGTTAACATTCTTAAATGACAGACATTGATTTTTTTTTATTAAGCTGGTATTTGATCCAAAGCTCCAAAGAATCAACTTTCTATTGACTGGGACTTGTGATCAGACTCCTAAAGAGTAGATGAATGTCTGAATACAAACATGAGTAAAGTCACCATCAACATGCAGATGATTGTTATTACCAGTGCAAAGGTTTAGGCCTGCTTTTATATGGAGAAATTCACACTAGATAAAAGCAAAGGGGCAGCACAAAAATTATGTGTTACCCAAGTACAATTTAAGCACCGAGGGTGAAAAATCCTGGTCCCATTGAAGCCAATGGGAGTTTTTGCTATTGATTTTAATGTAGCCAGGATTTTACTGTGTGTGTTTAAGTGAGATTAATGCAGTGGATAAGCCTTGTGCTGGCTATCTAAGGAAAAATTGACTTTTGTGTAGATAGAGTCCAGACTTGCCATTATTGTAGTTCAGTGATGATCAATAATTTTCGATGGGGTCCACTCCAAGACTTTGGTAAGTGGTCAAGAACCACACTTTTCTATGGAGGGGATGTGGGGTCTGGGATGGAGGTTGGGTGCAGAAGGGAGCTTGGAGTTGAGGACTGAGGTGCAGGAAAGGTGTGGGGTCTGAGACTGGGTTTGGGTGAAGGAGGTGGTTGTGACCTGGGGCAGAGGATTGGGGTGCAGGGTCTGGTGGGGGCATGGGTGCATGAGAGGATTCTCACCTGGGGGAGGGTTTTAGAGGGGGTGCAGAGTGTGAGAGGAAGTTGGAGGGGGTCTGGAGTGCCAGAAAGAGGCTCTGGCCAGGAAATGCTTACCTAAGCAGCTCCCAGCCAGCAACACTCTCAGACAGGCTTCCCTGCCAGCAGCCCCAGACTGCTGCTTGGCTGTACATGTGGCTCTTTGCACTGCTGGGAAAGGGGAGGGAGGGAGAGGCTTCATGTGCTGTCCCTGCTCATAGAAAAATCTCTTAGAAACTGGCTAATAGGAACTGAGAGATTTTGCTAGGGATTAGGGCAATGTGCTGAAGCCTCTCTCTCTATCCTCCTCCCAGCAGTGCAGAGAGCCACAGAGAGCAGCTAGCTGCTTTGCAGAGCTGGCCTTAGGGGTAGGCCGTGACCGCATGTCAGCCCAACCTCCTGAATCCTTCCCGCATCTTTTTTTTTTTTTTTGTTAGACAAATTTTCTCAGGCGTTTTTTTTTTTTCCCCCTGTTTAGGGCTGCCAATTGGTTAGGACCGGCTCTGCTGCTTTGATTGGCACTACGGTCTGCTGCAAGAGTGAGGTGTGGGCTAGATCAAAAAAACTTAGCAGGCCAAATGCGACCTGCAGGCCAGATCTTGCCAGTCCCTGATGTAGTGCATGTGAATTTTGGCATTGATTTTCATGGGCGCAGGATTGGGCCCTTTCATATTTTATAATTTAGTAAAATGTAAGTCAGTCCAAATATCTAAGTATGTCATGTTTTAATGACTGTACTTATTATAATAAAGAGTTCATACAGCTGTAGTTAAATAACAGTTGTCTTTTCTAATTCCAAGTTTGTTATTACAGTGTGCAAAATTGTGCTGACTGTTTTTTTGGCAAAAAAATTAGTTAGCCAGATTTAATTGTATAGCTAAAATAAATAAACACTGAAATTATCAATAATATATAGTAAACAATCCATGTAAATGGGAAGGAAACTCACATTTGACCTAAATAACTTTGACATTGTTTCTTTAACTTGGGAATCTTTTGATTTAAAGTTAACTCCTGAATATAACCTTGACTTAATTTTGTTTTATTGTCAGGATCAATTTAATTATGAGACCTTATCAGTTAAGGAGGCTTATACTATTAATTGTTCAAATTGGGATTTCATTTGTTTCTCTTCTAGAAGGATTACAAAGAATGAAGAGAGGGAGATAAATGATAGTCCAAGTGGCATCAGGGAAGAAACACTGCATTGCTTTTGATAGACAGGGAGGGAGATAAAGGGGAATTTTGCTGCCAAGATTTGGTAGTAATTTAGTGCAAAAGTTAAAAATAAAATAATTATTTTTAAATGAAAATATGCAGTGTTACTCACTACTCACATTATTTTGACCTACATTTATTTTTTGCTGTGCCATGACATAGTTGTGCAGGTGAGAATAGGGCAGCAACAACACACTTCTTGCATTGTATCTGAACCCTGACCTACGGATGAGAGGAAAATTTATTCATCATGCCCACTTCAGTTCTTCATTTCTGATATAAGGCTGGCAAGGAGAATGTTAATCAGTGGCAGTTGTCATGGTGCTTTTTGGGATAAGTTTACTTCCCATCTAGGAACTGGAACAAGATACTCTGTGAAGTGAATTGTCAATCAGGTCTTTGATGGTAATGATTCTTGATCACTCCAGAATTAGGTCAGATGTGAGCATTGATAGAGGTGAAATACTCTCCTTTTATCCCATTATTATGCCCATGAGATATTCATTCACCTTGCCTTTTTATATTCTTTAAAAATTAAACAAGGAAGAAACAAAACATCTGCTAGCTTGTGTATATTTATATAATATATATTAATTATTATTAGAGGATTAAAAGAATTCTCAGAGGAGTTGAAATAATTCTTTCAGGATGAAACACACCTAATGCAGAGCTTAATTGAGATTTAGGTGGATATGCACTTTGTTGCTGGTTCTTTGCACAAGAATGAATTTCAGCCTCAATGACAGTCAAACACCTATACATTTCAGAAAACATCTTCACCATTTTAAACTGCTATCAATCACTAAATATCACAGTAGAATCTCTTTAATCAATCTTAGTTCTCTACTGATTGTTACTGTTCTTATTATAATGTCACCTAGAGATCTGTAGTGTTCTAATATACAGGATCCTTCTCTCTTGCCAGATATCTCAAGGTTATGAAAATCTTGCAGTAAAAGCCTTCTGTTTCCTGATGAGGTTGAGATGTAATTAATAAGGCGGTTGCTGATGGCTTTCGATACCATGCTTAGCATGCTAATATCCGTCACTGGAAAAGCAAAACCCAATATTATCTGTAAACCTTTACTGTAAAAACACTACTTATCAGTAGTTAAGAACTTTATTATATATCTCAGTACAAGCAGGCCAAGAGATTTCAGTAACAAGGACAAGTATCAGTTCTTTGGACTCCTTTATCAACAAATTATGGTCATTCTGGATTTTGCATATATTTGTTAAATTGCAATCTGTATATATGGCAAGCAGAAGAATAATTCAAAGAGTTCCCCAAGTACTATCATTCCTTTTTTTTGTTGATGAGGTTCTTCAGGAACCCAAGTTGAAAATGAACAAACCAAATGAAAATCCCTTAAATTCACAGTAAAGTGAAGCATTATTGAGTCAGGCCCAGAGGCCTCAACTTGGCATTTAACTAAATAGAATTTTTGCCTGTGATCATTTTCATTTATAGACAGTATCATAATTTCCCTCAGTTTCTCACCTGAGAGATATTTCAAAACCATTTGAAAGATCTCTAATGGCAATGCTTTAAAATTCCCAAGCGTGGACAGTGACTCAGAATCTGTGTCCACAGTGTGGCAGAATGGTTTGGAGCGACGGCTACTGCGTCTGTATTTCTGGTTGGGAATCAAGGTGAAGCTGGTACTTACAGTGGATGTCATCTTTCTACTAGTCCCATAAATATTTCCTAGAGAGAAAACATAAAGGCATACAGGGGAGGAAATTAAACCCATGAGGGATATAAAATGAAATAACTCACGAGTGATACAGTAATGGAATATGAAAATCTTAGTAAATAGATAAGAAGGATCAATTTTACTTTAAATGTAACAAAGTGTCATCTAAATACATTCCAAAATACATATTCATAGTTTCCTGTTCCATAATTCTTTTCTTTTCCATATAACCAATAAAGCCAATCTCCCCTCCTCCCCCCACAACACAGAGTACAAAAAGAGAGAATGTACATATACTGTGTGTTTGGGAAATTATTTTTGCTTTCTAATTCAGTGCTGGGGGAAGAAAATACCCTGATTACAAGTTATAAAAGTGAAGAGAGGGTGGAGATAGTAGTGGCTAGTAGTGCAGTGAGGAGGGCTTTAGGTGGTTTGAAAGATAATTAAGAAAAAATGTAAGAGGTATATGAAATGCTTCAAAATGTATTAAGGAGCTATTATAACACATTCAGTACCCTAATGGTACTTTACCCTTCCATATAACAACATTAAAAATTAAGGAGGCCATTCAAAAGATTTGTATGTCTCTTGTCTGTCCGAAGCTCTCTACTTATATGTATTCTTGTACATGACAATAAAAATAAAAAGATTAAAAGTAATGTAAGTAAGCACTTTCCCTGAAGTATTTAAACTGAGGCATACGGTAGCTTAATTCCTGATAATAACAAATATCGCAGTAGAGCATATGCAAAACATTGTAACATGGCACATTGCTGCCAACTTCAAAGAGTTTAGAAATCATGAGAAAAGTCTCATAACGTTCTTAAGATTGGCTCTTAAATTGAAGAGAATAATAAACACTGTGTTCTTATATTTTCCTTCTGGTTTCTGAGCTTTTATGGTATAGTTGCTTAATATGTTAAAGCTTTTCTCTGTAACTGTGAGGGCTAGTAACTTCTTTTTTAAATTAATGCAATCTCTTCTTTTTTATATTAATGCAGTTGCTTGATTCTAGCAACTGAGGCTTTCAGGCAATCACCAAATGTTGCAAGACCTGCAGTAAAATTGTAAGTGTTGGCAACAATGGTAACAACACAAGTGGACTCCTTTCTCCCATCAATGCAGTATCAGTTACAATCAGTAGGAATTATACTCATCGTTTGAAGCACTGAAAATGTGCTGATGTGCCTTAGTCAGTTGACAGGTTACATTTACATAACCTAAGCAAAAAACAATTTGAAAACATCAAGCAAACAAGCCACATTTCTCTAACACTGAACCATTTTGCATAATATAGTGAATTAATACAATCCCAATGGAAGAGATGTGTACACTGAGTGAATTCAACAAATTATGAGCCATTTAATTAAAGCATTACAAATATGTTTGAATGAACAGTATTTTCTCCTCTGTGCCCAAGACAATGTTTCAATTGTTCACGAGAGGGAATTTCACTTTATAAAATGCATATTTAAATTAGTTATGAAATAATTCATGCTATCTGGAAAAAGCAATAGCTTAACTTTTTACATGGCTTATGAGCAAATTTAATTACTTTTAAAATTACAGTGTTTTACTCAATTTTCAACTACTTAAGCAAGAAGGGAGAGAAAATGAATTTGATACTTGTAATTTAAAAGTAACAAAAATATTCATTTAAATAACATCACAGATGTATATAACTGCACCCTTGAAAAGCATTGAAATCCACAGTTGAAGTCAGTGAGAGTTTTATGTAGACAACTGCAGGTGCAGGGAAATAAAAAGCCTTACCTTGTACATAAAGGCAGTTAAAGGCCTGTTTTAGTAAAAGAAAAATATAACTTTTACCATTAAAAATCTTTCAAGGCTGGTTAAGTCCAATACATTCTACTGATTCAAACCTAAATAGAATTACAATCTCAGGGTATTTTTTATTTGAAAGCAGTCAGCACTGGTCTAACTCTGCACCATTAAAATTAACAGGATTTTAGAGCACAGCTGAAATAGTGTGTACAGAAGCAGTCATTTATACATGATGGGTGGGATTTTTAAAAGCACTCAACACTGCTTCCATTAAAGTCATTGGTAAACCTATTATTTTCACAATGGACAGAGAGAGACCAATTTAAATAAAAACTGAGCAGGTGACAGAAGTTTTACGTTATGGACCACATTTTAGAGCCCTTCATTCAAAGCTCTGTTTAATTTCCATTTTTGGTTCTCTGAAGAAGCAGGCCGTGCCCACGAAAGCTCATGATACCATCTACATGTTTTGTTAGTCTTTAAAGTGCTACCAGACTATTTGTTGTTTTTTTAAGTTTAATGTATTTCATGTTTCTCAGGGAGATCAGCAAAAACATGATCAGATTAAATTTCACTTAACAATTTTGTTCAGCCTCGAACCTATATGTGGATCCCTCCTGACTGGAAAATTACTTACCAAGAATGGAAGAGGGACATGGAAATGTTAATCATATAAAATCAAATTAATTATAATAATTAATAACAGTGATTTTTTCTTAATTACTCTGTGCATATTTATTTATAGGGCAGAAGACATCAGCAATCAACATTCTTTCTATGCTGTTTTCTATCTATAAATAGTCCATATATTTTTCACAATCATTACAGCTTTTCTGGGATTTGCATTATCATTTTACTAATTATATAATACAGTTATTTACCTCAGATTGCAGCTTTGGGACTTTGTATTCTCTCTCCCCTAGGCATTTCACAAATAAATAAATGAATTACCATGGACATAGATAGGATTTTTCTTTCTGTTTCTCTTTCCACACACGTAAAGATATGGGAATTTCTTAATCAGGGGTGACTCCATTTCCCTTTGCAAACACTTAAAGATATGGAAGCTTCTGAATCAGGGAGGAGTGACCAAAGATTGTGATATGGGTGACTGAAGTGGCAGCATGCCAGCTGCCCATAGGCTGCACCTAATTTGCCATTAAAGAGAACTGATTCACATTTACATTAAAGCCTCTTCACACCAGATTTGCAGTGCCTTAAGGTAGATGAAATGCAGTATGATTTATTTACGTTTTAAGGATGCTTTTAACTGTGTGAGTGGTGTAAAAAGGTCTTAGTGGAAATGAGAATAAGTCCCAAAGGTATCTAAAATAACATAAGTCTCCTAACATTACAGATTAAAAAATAACCGCCCTTGATAATCTTAATATTTGCACTTATTTGTTTCCATGTGCTATAAGGCATTGGTTTTTTGGCTTCATGCCAAAGTTTATGTCCTTTGATCCATGCTGCAGTCCCAGGAAAGGGATGTTAACATCTGCTTGTTATCATACAAGTTATGTTTGCCCCATTGGCCACCTGTAAGAAACCACTATGGGTTATCTATGGCCTTTTAGTTGTGTCACTCACTACTAGCCTTTGGGTAGCATGTCATGACTCTGTTGACTCGGTGTGATCATTGGGCTGCACTGCACACCCCTTAGGCTGCATTTGTACCTTGGGCCTCTCTTAGGCTTTGTCTACACTTGCAGATGATCAACAAAACTTTTGTCCGTCAAGGGGTTCAAACACACCCCGCCCATAATGACAGAAATTTAGCTGTGGCAAGTGCAAATATGAATGCAGTTTTGTCTGCCGACAAAGCCGAATCCGCTCGTGAAAGCTAGAAGTATTTTGTTGGCAAAAGTGCTGACAAGTGTTCTCACACACCAACTTTTCGTGACAGGGCTGTATTGAAACAGCCTTGTTGCTAAAAGCTGTGTAGTGTATACATAGTCCTAATAAACACTTTAGGCTGTAGTTAATCCTCTGGCCGGATGATAAGACTCTATGGCAGGGGTTCTCAACCTTTTTCGGTCCCCGTACCCCCTTGGCGAAGCTTCCTGTACCCCTTATTCAATATGAAAGGAAATAAATTCTAGACTCTAGAATCCACAACTTTTTTCACTAACACTACTACTTTTGGAATATTTCAATTAGGATAATCTAGTTATTTACAAAATATTCCCCATACCCGCTTGACAAGCTTCTCGTACCCCCTGCGGGTACACGTACCCCAGGTTGAGAACTGTTCTATGGGTTATATTTTGACCTCCGTTCTATGCACTTCCTCTCCAAAACCTGCCACACCTCAATGATAATAGATTACAAAAATGATTTGATGCCTCCAAATAACTCTATATCCATTTGATATCAAACAGATATAAACCCTGTTTCACCCCTGGGGAAAGTCCTGGGAGCGTGGTGGAAACTAAGGGAGCTCAAGCAAAATCATAGAATCATAGAATCATAGGACTGGAAGGGACCTCAAGAGGTCATCGAGTCCAGCCCCCCGCCCTCAAGGCAGGACCAAGCTCCATCTACACCATCCCTGACAGATGTCAGGACAATGTAGCACTTTAAAGACTAACAAGATGGTTTATTAGATGATGAGCTTTCGTGGGCCAGACCCACTTCCTCCGATCAAATAGTGGAAGAAAATAGTCACAACCATATAGATACAATTAAAAAAAAGGGAGCTCAGACCCTGCTCTCCAGATTTGTTAGGGCACCCACTTCCCCTAAACAAAACAACCAATCAAGAAACCACAGAAAAAAATGCATTAAATTGGCTGAATTTGATAAACTTCAGGAAAGAGTATATGTTGTATACAGGGTTGGCTTTTTTTTTTAATGTACCACATTTGGTTTGAGGCTTTAATAGTTTTCCTCAAGGGAAAACATCTAGGTATGTGTGTGAACAGGAACCCCTCTATATAGAATTGTGACAGCGATAACATATTTTCATCCCAGCCATACTTGATAAATTCATTTGATAAGCTAATTAATTCATGGGCACTGGGAGGGGGAAGTGGCCGATGTACATTTTTGCAGGCAGGAAGTTACCACAGAAAAGGAACATTTTATGCTGGTGGCAATTACTTCAGGGGGTTTTCAGAGCTGCTTTATTCATGTTTGTTAACTGCCCATTTTTAAATCGCCTCACGTTTCCCGCCTTTTTGGGGGGAGGTGCCCGTCAGCCTAAGCGCCGGGAGGGGGGCGGGACAGGAGAGGCTATAAGGCTCGAGACAGGCTGCCCGCCAAACTCAGGGCACGCCCCCTTCATGAATAATTAACGAGACCTCTCCTCCCCCTTCACGTTGCGGGTTCCAACCCAGAGAACCACGCCCCTCCCTCCCTGGAATCCCCGCGACTTGCACTGAACAGCCCCGCCCCTTATGAATAATTAATGAGGGGGAAGGCTCACCTTCCCTTTCAGCTAGGGCTGCTGGCTGAGGGGAGGGGAGTCACCCCAGCCCAGCAATGGGAGGGGGAGGGTGGGAGCCCTTCATGCCTGGTTCCTCCCCCCCCCTCAGTTGGCTGTGCCTCTACCATACTGGTTACCACACCTACAGCTACCCAGCTTTGTGGGCTGGTGCAGGGCTGCGACCTGGCCAGGTCACCATAAGGCAGCTCCACATCACACATAGTGACCATGGCAGTGCAGGGTGTCACCCTGTCACCACGAGGCAGCATCAATTTAAGGGCACCCGGTTGCCATGGGCAGCAAAAGACAGCAGGGTGCTCCAGCCCAATGTTACAGGTGCATGGCTGTCATGGCAATGCAAGAGATCATGATGCCACAGGAGAGAGCTGACTGCTGCACCGTGAAGCACTACCGCATCACAGGGGCAAGACTACTGTGACTCCACAAGCTGCATTAGCTGTGCGCTTGTGTGGCCACTCAGGAGACATTCAAATGCTACCCAGCTGAGTAGCAGAGCTCTGACAACTAGGTTTTTTATTTCTACTGGTGGTGCAGATTTGCAGTGCACATACAAAATTTATTCTGCACATAGACAAAAAAATGCACACATGGTTAGAAAAGATTAGAAAAAACATTGTCCAATGTCACAAGCACACAGTCTCCAGGAGACAGCACCATGTTATGGTTATAGGGTTGCTGTGACACCACAATACATCATCATCATCTTGCAAGCACTAGGTCAGGGACACTATAAGCCATCAGTTGGCCAGAGATGTAAGGTCACTCTGTCATTGCAAAATGTCCCCATAACACAGGCACTTGGTTACCTTTCATAAATACAGGATTATCTCAGAAATTGTATTGCTGCACACAATTACTGCACTTTGATGTAAGGCAATATGAACACTAGCAATAGAGATGAACACTATGCCATGCAAAGTCAGTCTGTAGTGACATAACTTAATGGGCTGCATGAGATAGGGTCATTCTGTCATTGTACAAGGTTCTTGCACCACAATGTCAAGGCACAGAATATCAATGTCCTGAAGCAATATTGTCGTTTTGTTCAACAAAGGCATTGAACCACATAAACCCAGAATATTTCCAATGGAAGTTGTGCCTCAATGTGAAGTAACAAGTTGCCACACAGTCCTTACACTGTAAAACAAAAACAATGAGCAGTCCTGTGGCACCTGAAGGCATATCTGCAACTAGGAAATGATTTCAAAATAACTAAATTTGAAATAACTCCCGAAATAACTATTTCAAAATAAGATTATTCCCCAAGGAGAGTAGGAGTACAGATTTCAAAATAACTAAATTTGAAATAACTCCCGAAATAACTATTTCAAAATAAGATTATTCCCCAAGGAGAGTAGGAGTACAGATTTCAAAATAACTAAATTTGAAATAACTCCCTCGTATAGACCAGGGCTTAGAGACTAAAATATATATAGAGAGAGAATATATATAGAGAGCTTTCATGGGTAAAATCCACTTCATTGTTCTCATGATACTATATATTTTTGTTAGTCTATAAGGTGCCTACTTGTTATTTAAAAAATGGGACGACTCGTTATTTTTAAAATTACAGACTAACACAGCTACCCCTCTGAGACATTGTAAAACAAAGTCACACTGTTGATATGAGACATTGAACAGGCCAAGAAAAACTAATAGGACTAGTAATTAGGTTTAAGCCATTGGAAAAATGAACTTTAAAAACAATGTTTTTTTCCAGCTGCAACTGGTTTAGCTTCTAATGAAAATCACTATTAACTGATTTTCCAAATAAACTCCTTGGTATACCAGCTGGTGCTCTCAAAAAAGTCTCCAGAAGATGGCAATAGAGGGCTGCAGTAGATTTTATAGAGCTTTCCTCAATAGGTTTGTAAAGTCAGTGGGAGGTTTTTGGGGAAGGGGTGGTATTCTGTTTTTATTCTCCTAGAAATTGAAGCACAATACAAAAACTAAAATCAAACCATAATGGCTTCTGAGAGCTGTCCAGTGAAGAGAATAATCAACTCCATAGAATGGGAATGCCATGATGATGCTACTCTGATGCAGAAATTTTGCTGCATAAGAAAACTGGATAATGTAAAAACAACTAGTAGTTCTTATATTTTGCCATATGCACTGTCTGTATAGTTAAAGTAGGCTGACAACTTGCACTTTAAAAGCAAATCTTACATCTGAAAGCTGGGATTTTCTCTGGAGTCTTCCAAAGGCAACGTGTGTTTACCCTCACTCTAAAAGAGGCTTTGCTAATACTATAAACTGCTGTGTTTGATGGGGCATGGAGAGCATTCACTTGGGATGCAGCAGGGAGTAATGCACGAAGGACCCAAATGAAGGTAAAGAATTGGAAGATTTAGGGATTTCTGCAGCTTGACTTTTCCCACCTGCTGTGTTCAGGGACCTCATTAAGCCTTCTGCTGTCAGCAAGCCAGCTCTCTCTTGATTAATATCCTAACCACTTGTGCTTATTAAATACCCCATAGCTCTTTTCCGAAGAGTGAAATTGCTAACGTTGTATTCTGACTAAATTTTACCTGGTGGAATTATAGTGTTCCTCTCTAAATTCCCCTTGCACTTTCAATTGTGCACTGTTCTTTTTCTCCCCACTTCCTGTACTAGTGTGAATTGTTCCTTTATATTGCTGTGCTCCACCCCAGAGATAGCTGCATTCCCATGGAGGAAGGGATGATGCCTATTCATATCTTCCTTTGAAATCACACTGAAATCTTAGTTAATGTTTGTAAACTGCTTTGAGATAATTGGATGAAAGTTGCTAAAGAAAGCAAAGTATAATCCTTATATATATATATATTATAAGCAAAGGTGCACTATGAGACCATCAACGTAATTAAAAATACTAAACATTTGCTGGTCATATGATTTTATTACAGCAACCTATGCTATTCTCTATCAGGCAAGTTACTTGACAGAAAAGTCTTTATCCTACTGAAGTGTTAAGTATATCATGCTGCACATGAGTGCCGTTATATTTCTAATCTGTCTTGCTTTATTTTTTTTTGTATGTGTAAGCAAAGTTGCATGGTTTTGTGGTTAAATACAAGCAAGATGGCTAACATAGTGCTCCCATCATCCTACTATTGGTGGAGCTGCACCAGGGCTATCAATAGTGGGAAGTTTTAAGACGAAAAGTCTAGGTTAAAAACACAGAGTGAGATTTTCAAAGATATTTCTGTTTCTCTGGAAGTGGGCGACAGGGGAGGAATCATGAGAGGATTACCTGGGAGGCATCTGGTATTGGCCACTGTCGACAGACAGGATACTGGGTTAGATGGACCTTTGGTTTGACCCAGTATGGCTGTTCTTATATTCTTATTTTAGGTGCCTAAAGATACAGAAAGATGCCTATTGGAATTTTCAAAAGTATGTAGACGGGCTAGGTGCTTTGCATGCACTGGATGATTGGAGCAACAAGAGCGATTAAAGGTCTAGAGAACATGAGCTATGAGGGAAGACTGAAAGAATTGGGCTTGTTTAGTTTGGAAAGGAGATGACTGAGAGGGGACACGATAGCAGTTTTCAAGTATCTAAAAGGGTGTCACAAGGAGGAGGGAGAAAAATTGTTCTCCTTGGCCTCTGAGGATAGGACAAGAAGCAATGGGCTTAAACTGCAGCAAGGGAGGTTTAGGTTGGACATTAGGAAAAACTTTGTGAGGGTGGTTAAACACTGGAATAAATTGCTTATGGGGGTTGTGGAATCTCCATCTGTGGAGATATTTAAGAGTAGGTTACATAAATGTCTATCAGGGAAGGTCTAGACAGTATTTGGTCCTGCCATGAGGGCAGGGGACTAGGCTCGATGACCTCTCGAGGTCCCTTCCAGTTCTAGTGTTCTATGACAGTGTTTCTGAAAGTGTACCGCAAAATCACTTTGAGAAACATATTAACTGGCTGCCCTGATTTTTTTATGTACTGGCACCGCAGCCCTCTGGCCCCCCAGCCTCACGGCTGCCATTCACTCAGTTTTGTCCATTGCAGCCAGGGCGCTGCTGGCCAGTGCTGTGGGGGTTAACACGGCCCCCCCACCCCGGGCGGCCGCTGCAGCCTGCCGGGAGCCGGGCGCCGGGCAGCCCCCGTAAGTTGGCAACCTGGGCAGCTGCCCGGCTAGCCCACCCCGTAGTCCAGCCCCGATTGCAGCCAAGGGGAGCTGTGGGAAATGGCGTGGGCTGAGCCATCACTTCCTGCGGTGCCCCTTGGCTGCAAAGGATGAAACGGAGCCAGTGGGAGCCGTGAGGCTCCATGGCCACGGCGCCAGTAAATAAACAAACCGGGGAGGCCAGTTAATGTGTTTTCTCAAAGTGATTTTGTGGTATACTTTCAGAAACACTGTTCTATGAAATAAGGGTAGCTACAACCTTATTTAAGTGCGGTTGTTAAACTCAGCTGCAAGGACAGTAGAGACAGGTACCTGGATTTTTAGCACCATTACGATTTCACAGTTCTCAGAAACTAAAAATCTTTTTTTATACTGCTCAGGGAAAACATGCTAGAACCTTCCTACAGCAGCAGCAAATAGGTTTAACTCAACTAGCATGGGTCTTTACCTTGGAAGAAAAGGAATTAAGAGCTGTCATCGAATCAGTGAGGGATGGTGTACAAATAAAAAAAGTCAGCCTTCTAGGATACAGTGTGATAAACTAGAGGAGCCATTCCATGTCTCTTCCAACCCAGATGATTATAGGCAGG